AAACTAAAAGTTCATTGACAGACGAATGGGATAAAGACAATGGTATTTACATATCATGGAATTTAAACAGCCAACAACGTGGATGAACCTTGAAGACATGAGCTAAGCAAAATAAGCCAGTCATTGAAGGACAAATATTTCATGGTTCCACTTTTATAAGTGTTGTCTAAAGTAGTCAAACTCATTTAAAAAAGCACAATGGTGGTTTCCAAGGGTTTCAGGAAGGGGGAAGTGGGGAGTTTCTATTCAATGGGTGTGTTTCAGTTATTCAAAATGGAAAAGTTCTAGAGATCTGCTGTACAACGGAGTGCTTAGAGTTAATATGGTACTACACACTTAAAAACAAGTCACGAGGGCAGATCTCATGCTAAGTGTTCTTACCACAATGAAATAATTTTTTAATCCAAATTTAAATTTCCAGAAATAGCTACATAAGAATGTTATTTAGAAATGTGGAGATGAATATTAGAAACAGCTAGAAGAGCTAAAATGGTTACCTCTAGTATCAAGACCTCTGATCAGGAATCAAGGTAAATAGGAGCGACGTAGGCGATTCCCATCGTAAACCCAGTTTTACACTTTACGTTTCATACTGTGTGTGTATATTATTGTGATAATACCTTAAACTGAATTTCATACCTTTAAAAATAGGGGAAAAGTAGCTGAAGAACAGGCATAACATCTTCCTGGTTTACCTTCCTTTAAGGAAGCATGTGCACCTTTGTCTGGCTCAGTAGAAGGTGCAGGAAGGGTTCGGATGATCCGGTTTCCTGAGTTTTAGGCATTAAATACTTTGGGATCCCACAATTTCCAATTAGGGCATTAATTCAGCTTATGCTATTCAGCCAGGCACACAGTTAGGACAAAGATTTATTGTGATGTTGCCTGTCATTAATATAAAGATACACACACACATACACACACACACACACACACACACACACACGAGTCTCTCCTGTTTCTCCTGTTAAAGTGAGTGCTGCAGCAAGCAGAATATGTTTGTACATGGCAGGTAAATAAGGAATTAAATCACCAAAATGTAAAATTGGGTTAATACACACGGTTTTTCATAAGGTGACTATGCCTTGTCCTGTCATATAATACCAATCAAATGCAAAAATACTGAACATAGTGTCTCTGGAGTGAAACACAAAATACATACACTTCATCTCTTCCCTCTCATCTCACTCTAGGCATTGTCCTACCAACTGTGTGATCTGCTGTTGTCCCGAGTTCTATACTCTTCTTGATAGAATTATTTACTACTCTGTTCAAAGTCCCAGAAACAAGAATCTGAAACATGATTATAAAAGAAATGCCTTAAGGCCAGGTGTGGTGATTCACACCTGAATTCCCAGCACTTTGGGAGGCTGAGAGAGGCAGATCACTTGAGGTCAGGAGTTTGAGAGCAGCCTGCTGGCCAAGATGGTGAAACCCCATTTCTACTAAAAATAGAAAAATTAGCCAACCTGTAGTCCCAGCTATTGGGAGGCTGAGGCAGGAGAATCTCTTGGACCCAGGAGGCACCACTTGAACCCAGATTGTACCACTGCACTCTGGGCTGGGTGGCAGAGGGAGACTCTGTCTCAAAAAGTAAATAAATAAAAATTTACAAATAAATAAAAGAAATGCCTTAAATATTGAGAAGTTTTAAATAATAAAATATTTTTAAATAAATGAGAGCACATGATATTCACCACAGCAATAAGCTAAATGTCGCACACCATCAGAGATGAGGCTGCTAGCGAGCTTAACACATCAGTTATTTTCAGCTTCAAGTGAGACTGATAAAATGTTGTAGCGAATTAAAGGTCAATATATTTTTTTAAGACAAAGTCTTGTTCTGTCACCCAGGCTGGAGTGCAGTGGCCTGATCTCGGTTCACTGAAACCTCTGCCTCCTGGGTTCAAGCGATTCTCATGCCTCAGCCTCCCAAGTAGCTGAGATTACAGGTATGTACTACCACACCCAGCTAATTTTTGTATTTATAGTTGAGACAGCGTTTCACCATGTTGGTCTTGAACTCCTGACCTCAAGTGATCCACCCACTTCAGCCTCCTGAAGTGCTGGGACTACAGGCATGAGCCACAACGCCCAGCCAGAGGTCAAGATTCTAATGTCAAGAGCATCAGGATAGAACTTTGCAGTTACCCAGTTTCATTTAGAGTTATGCAGCTTCCTTACAAAATAGAGGAACTTGCCAATCAGCAAAGCAGATTGCTATTTTAAGTCAGCACAGAAGCAAAAGATGGAAGACAAGGACCTCTGGTATAACAACATTTAGTCCAAGAATGATGATGTTCCTCATTCCACCTTTTGTGATACCTCAAGAGGTACTTCACCATACCCACTTACCAAGCAAACTCCTTAGCTTTTGCTATTATTTACTACGGAATTTCTTTATTAGGAAAAGATGTTTAAAACTGTGGTCACGTTTTTATTGGGTATGGATTCTGTTTGTTTGATATAAAACACTGAATGTTCTACTTCAACTCTATTTTTTTCCAGAAGTTCTGTTATTTGTAGTGGGTGACACTCTGTAACCTAATGATTTTCAGGGATATATACTCCATGCTTAGGAGAAATAGAGCATATCTTCCCTTTTATTCCCTGTTTTAGGCTAGGCCATTTCGGTTCCAGGCTTTCCACTTTCCTGAAGCACATAAATAAATGATGCCCCAAAAAGACAATGAACGTAAAACCTGGTTAATGTAATTCACAAAATAACGAATTGAAGAGAAAATCCATGTATTTATCTCAATTGACGAGGAAAAGGCATTTGATAAAATTCAACATCCTTTCATGAGAAAAACCCTTAGCTAACTAAAATTAAAAGGGAACTTTGTTAACCTGATTCAGCAGAAACAGGATGAATTCCACAAGGTCACATGGCACAGGCTAAAGGATGCCTTTATTGGGTGAAACCAGTGAGCCAAGGATCAGCACTCCTAAACATGGGATACTCCCAGCAGACACTCCCATCCTTACTCATTTCAGCCTAAATTGAGGTGTTTTGAGGCCATACACCGCTATCAGTCAGTGAAGTAGGACAGCAGAGTTTCTCCACCTCAATACTACTGGCACTTGGAGACAGATAATTGTTTGTTGTGAAAAGCTGACCTGTGCATTTTTAACAGTTAGCAGCAACCTCAGTCTCTAGACACTGGATGTCAGAAGCACATCTGCCCTCGTTGTGACAACCAAATATGTCTCCAGACATTGCCAAAGCCCCCTGGGGACAAAATAACCACCTTTTGAGAAGATAGTTTACTACTGTAAAACAGGAACGTTGTCCCCTGTAATTTTACCTTCTTATGATAAGAATACAAGAAGTTCCTTATGGGGCATGCTTCCTAGACAGTCTAGGTTTCTAGGAAACCTAAATGTAAACTTAAATGTGTGTATGTGTAAGTATGTGTATGTATATACATATGTGTGTGTATGTATGTGTATGTATATACATATGTGTGTGTGTATGTATGTGTATGTATATACATATGTGTGTGTGTATACACATATGGAAACATATTTTTGCTATTGAGTTGCAGTAGTTCTTTATTTTTTACTTTTTTAAATTTATTGATTTTTTGAAATAGAGTCTCGCTCTGTCACCCAGGCTGGAGTGCAGTGGCACGATCTTGGCTCACTGCAACCTCTGCCTCCCGGGTTCAAGCAATTCTCCTGTCTCAGCCTCCCGAGTAGCTGGGATTACAGGTGTCCGTCACCACACCCAGGTAAATTTTTGAATTTTTAGTAGAGAACACCATGTTTCCCCAGGCTTGTCTTAAACTCTTGAACTCAGGCAATCCACCCGCCTTGGTCTCCCAAAGTGCTAGGATTACAGGCGTGGGCCACCGTGCCTGGCCTTGCAGTTTTTCTCTATGTATTTTGAAAATTAACCCCTTATCTGATATGTAGTTTGGGTATATTTTTCCCATCTTGTAGTTTGCCTTTATTACTAAATATTTTATGTTATTGCTTTTAAAGTGTTACATTTTTCTAACCAATATTTCTAGTGTATAGAAATGCAGTTGACTTTTATATATTGATTGTTGTGTCAGCTAATCTTGAAAAATTATCTGTCTTGATATATCTGCAGATTCCTTTGTGTTTCTATTAGACTATTGTATCATTTGCAAGCAATGGCTTTTCTCTTCTTCCATTCTAATACATATTTCTTTTATTTCTTTTTTTATGTGTGTGTGCATATATATGTGTGTATATATATGTGTGTATATATATATATATGTGCACACACACACATATGTATATAAAGACCCAATTAAAAGTGAGTCAGAATCAAACAGACATTTCTCCAAAGAAGATATACAAATGGTCAACAGGTGTATGAAAAGATGCTCAACATGTCTAATCATAGGGAAAACGCAAATCAAAACCATAAGATCTCTTCATACCTGTCAGATGGCCATTATTTTAAAAAGAAAAGAAAAAGAAAACAAATACTGGTGAGAATGTGGAGAAACTGGAACCCTTGTGCACTGTCAGTGAGAATTTAAAGGTGTATAGCCACTATGGAAAAGAGTATGGAAGTTCCTCAGAAAATTAAAAATAGAACTACGACATGATCCAGCAATCCCACTTCTGGATATTTATCCAAAAGAACTGAAATCAGGATCCCAAAGAGATATTTGCACCTGCATGTTCATTGCTCTAATAGTTACAATAGCTAAGAAGTGGAAACCTAAATGTGTATTGACCCATTGACAGATAAATGGGTGAAGGAAAAAAATTTATATACACACACACACAAACACACACACACGTATATGCATTCCATGGAATATTATTCAGCATTATTCAGCCATAAAAAAGAAGAAAATTCTGTCACATGCTGCAACATGAGTGAACCCCCAAGGACTTTATGCTAAGTAAAATAAGCTAATTTCCAAATAGATCTCTTGCCATTTTGAGCCTTCGGCTCCACCCACGGCTTGCCTAGCAGGGACACTATAAAGCCAGGCTCAGCCCAGCTCCCAGCCAAACACCTTTCCAGCAACATGGGGTCCAGCAGGTTCTTGGTCCTCATGGTGTCTCTTGCGCTTGTGACCCTGGTGGCTGCGGAAGGAGTTAAAGTGAGTGAGCAGACGTGGTGGATCTGGGTGGGGCTGGGCTGGGGAGAAGTCCTGAGGGGCCCTCTGGGGCTGGAGTTCTCATCTCACCTTGTGGCTTCCTCCACTAGATATAGAGAAACCAGGGGTTTGCCCAGCTGACAATATACGCTGCATCAAATCCGATCCTCCCCAGTGTCACACAGACCAGGACTGTCAGGGGATAAGGAAGTGTTGTTACCTGCACTGTGGCTTCAAGTGTGTGATTCCTGTGAAGGAACTGGAAGAAGGTAAGGAGACCTGCCTCCCAGGGCTAGGGCTGTCTCTTCCCCTGCCTCATACCTGGCCCATGAAAGTTCAAAGGAATTAGTCCCTTCAGCTGGTGTGGGGAGGGATGGCTAAAGCTGGCAGGGCCCTCGGACACCAACTAGTCTGAACATCTCCATTGTAAAAGGAGGAAACAAGGATGAAGACGTATCAAGGCCATGCCCAGAGCCAGGATGGGAAGCCAAGCCTCCAGGCGTCTTCTCCACCAGGTGTCCTCAGAAATGATGCTGGTCCTTTCCACCTCTGGGGGCCACTCTCAACTGGCACCTGCCCCTGAGGGTCCTGAGAATTGGAATATGGAAGAAGAAATACCCAACCCCACCAAGGAAAACTTGATCTTGAAGTCCTTTTCCCCAAAAAAGAGGGAAGAGTCACAAAAAGTCCAGACCCCAGGGACTGTACTTTCCCTCTCTACCTGGTGCTCCTCCCCCACGCTCATGAGTAGACCCCTCATGAATGAGATCAGTGCCCTTATAAGATACCCCAAAGAGCTGTCTTGCCCATCTGCAATGTGCAATCGTGGCTAGAAGGTGCTGTCAGAGACGAGAAACTGGACCTCACCAGATACTGAATCTGCTGGTACCTTGGCCTTAGACTTCCCAGCCTCCAGAACTGTAAGAAATAAATATTAGCTGTTTATAAGCCACCCCGTCTATGGTAATTTGTTACAGCAGCCCAAACCAGCTAAGACAACCTAATAGTAAAAAAATCCTATTTAACATCATCAAAATGAATAAAATATAAAATACCTACAAATAAACATTTCTGGAGATGTACAGAAATTTTCCGAAGAAAACAAACCTGTAAAACCTAATTAAATGATGTTTTAAAAGATCTGGATTAATAGACTAAACTTTTCTACAGTTAAAAAAAAAGAAAGAAAGAGAAAGAAAAGGTTTTTAAAAGATATGCTCTTCCCCAAACAAGAAACCTCCACAAAATATTTATCTTAGTTAGCATAATTTATACCTGAAATATAATTAAAAACAAACCCATTGGGTTTTACAAACCCTGATGAAATAATTGATTCAGGCAATGATCATCCATGGTTTCTGAATATTTACAGAGTGCCATTTCATGACCCCATGAAATGTTTACAGTTCATAAGAAGGGAAACACAAGTTTACAAGGTGAGGATTCAGGTATATACCTAAAACACATTAATCTGTCTCCACAATGCTAAAAATGGGTAAGCCAGACCTTCGTTCCTCCTGAAGTGATGCAGCACAAAACATACAGCATCATTTAAGAAGGGTTCCTGCCAAGACAGTTGAGCATGAACCTCACCAAGCCTCTCCAGCTAACATTCGTCTATGAGAAATGTGAAGGACAAAGATCAAAGACATCACAGGAAAGCAACATGGGACATTCTAAAGAACAATTTGTCTGTTTTGTTCAACAAGTAAATAGCATGAAGAAGAAAGAGGAGGGAGGAAAGGAGGATAAGAAATGAGCTGGAGGGACTGTTCTAGATTAAAAGAAACTTCAGATACAGTACAGCCAATGCAATGTGTGCACCACAACCAGGCAGTCACTTTTGAGACAATAAGAAAAACAGAATGCAAATAGAATAGTAGATGATGTTAAGAAACTGCTGTTATTTTCTCAGGTGTAACAATAGTATTGTGATTACATGAGAAAGTGTCCTTAGTTTTTAGAGATGCATACTGAAGTACTTAAGGGTAAAATATAAATGGGTTGGATTTACTTTAAAATACTTCAGCCTTATAGTAGAACGATTTATAGTCCTTTGGATATATACCCAGTAATGGGATTGCTGGGTCAAATGGAATTTCTATTTCTAGGTCCTTGAGGAATCGCCACACTGTCTTCCACAATGGTTGAACTAATTGACACTCCCACCAGCAGTGTAAAAGTGTTCCTATTTCTCCACATCCTCTCCAGCATGCAACTATCTTGCATGTTCTGCACATGTACCCCAACACCTAAAATGCAATAAAAAAATAATAATAAAATAAAAATAATTTTAAAAAAATACTTCAGCCAAGAAAGGGGTGGGGATATCCACGAAGGAATTGTTGTAAAATGTTCATGGTTGAATCTGGATGATGGGTATCTAGGCTTCATAAAGGTATTTGCTGTTCTTTTGTTCATTTTTGAAAACTTTTTAAGATAAAAACAATGGGTTTATTTTTGCAGCTTAACAAAAGGATAATTAGGTTTACATGGAACCAGAAAATACTTATAGCCTGGAATATTGAAAATGTAGATTAATGAAGGGTAATGGATACCACCAGTCATGAAAACATACTATGAAGCTACAACAATTAGAACCACAATACAAGCATACTTTGTTTTATTGTGCTTTGTGGTCATTGTATTTTTTACAAATTGAAGGTTTGTGGCAACCCTGCATCAAGCACGTACATTGGCCCCATTTTTCCAACAGCATGTGCTCACTTTGTGTCTCTGTGTCACATGGTGGTACTATTCAGAATATTTCAATTTTTGTCATTATTATTACATCTGTTATGTTGGTCTGTGACCAGTGATCTTTGATGATACTATTCTAATGGTCTCAGGGTGCCATAAACTGTGCCCACAGAAGACAGTGAATTTGATTGATAAATGTGGTGTATGTTCTGATTTCTCCCCCAACTGGCCATTCCCTGTTTCTCTCCCTTGGAGCACACCAATGTTGAAATGAGGCCAATTAATCATCCTACAGTGGCCTTTAAGTGCTCAAGTGAAAGGAAGAGTCATGTATCTCACTTTAAATCAAACAAACTAGAAATTATTAGCCTTAGTGAGGAAGGCATGTTGAAAACCAAGACAGGTCCAAAGCTAAGCCTCTTTTACCAGTTAACCAAGTTGTGACTGCAAATGAAAAGTTCTTGAAGGAAACTAAAACAGCTGCTCCAATGTACACACAAATGGTAAGTTAGTGAAACAGACTTATTGCTAATATGGAGAAAATTTTAGTGGTTTGGATAAAAAAATCAAAACAGCCACAGCATCCTCATCGCCAAAGCCTAAGCAAGAGCAAGACCCTAACTTTTTTCAATTCTATGAAAGCTGAGAGGTGAGGAAACTACAGAAGAAAAGTTTGAAGTTAGCAGAGGTCGGTTCACAAGGTTTAAGGAAAGAAGCCATCTCCATAACACCAAAGCGTAAAGTAAAGCAGCAAGTACTGATGTAGAAACTGCAGCAAGTTCTCCAGCAGATCTAGGCAAGATAACTGTTGAAGGTGGCTATGCTACACAACAGATTTTCAATGTAGATGAAATCGCCTTTTATTGGAAGAAGGGGCCATGTAGGACTTTCATAGCTAGAGAGAAGTCAATGCCTGGATTCAAAGTGTCAAAGGACAGACTGACTCTCTTATTAGGAACTAGTGCAGTTGGTGACTTTAAGTTAAAGCCAATGCTCATTTACAGTTCCAAAAATCCTAGAGCCATTAGGAATTATGCTAAATCTATTTTGCCTGTGTTCTACAAATGGAACAACAAACCCTTGATAATAGCACATCTGTTTACGGCACGGTTTACTGAATTTTTTTTTTTTTGAGACAGAGTTTCACTCTCGTTACCCAGGCTGGAGTGCAATGGCGCGATCTTGGCTCACCACAACCTCCGCCTCCTGGGTTCAAGCAATTCTCCCGCCTCAGCCTCCTGAGTAGCTGGGATTACAGGCACGCACCACCATGCCCAGCTAATTTTTTGTATTTTTAGTAGAGATGGGGTTTCACCATGTTGACCAGGATGGTCTCGATCTCTTGACCTCGAATATTTTAAGCCCAGCATTAAGACCTACTGTGCACACACACACACACACACACACACACACACATTTCTATCTTCCTTTTGAAATATTTCTACTTATTGACAATGCACTGGATCACCTAAGAGCTCTTATAGAGATGTAGAAGGAGATTAATATTTTCACGCCTGCTAACACAATATCTATTCTGCAGATCAAGGAACAATTTCAACTTTCAAGTTTTATTATTTAAGAAATACATCTCATAAGGCTATTATTTAAGAAATACATCTCATAAGCTGCCACAGATGATGATTCCTCTAATGGATCTGGGCAAAGTAAATTGAAAACCTTCTGGAAGGGCCTCACGGTCTAACTGCTATTAAGCATATTCATGATTCATGGGAGTAGATCAAAATATCAACATGAATAGGAGTTTGGAAGAAGTTGATTTTAACCATCATGAATGACTTTGAGGGGTTCAAGACTTCAGTGGATATAGTCACTGCAAATGTGGTGGAAACAGCAAGAGAACTAGAATTAGAAATGGAGCCTGAAGAGATGACTGAATTGCTACAATCTTATGATAAAACTTGAATCAATGAGGAGTTGCCTCTTATGGATGAGAAAGAAAGTGGTTTTGAGAGATAGAACCTACTCCTGGTAAAGATGCTGTGAACATTGCCGAAATGACAAAACCAAGAACTTAGACTATTATATAAACCTAGTTGATAAAGCGACAGCAGGGTTTGAGAGAATTGATTCCAACTGTTTGTTGTTGTTGTTGTTGTTTTCGGAGACAGGGTCTTGCTCTGTTGCCCAGAATGGAGTGCAGCAGCACGATCATAGTTCACTGTGACCCTGAACACCTGAGCTCAAGCAATCCTCTTACCTCAGCCTTCTGAGAGGGTAGGACTACAGGCATGCACCACCATGCCCAGCTAATTTTGTAACTTTTTGTAAAGGTAGGGTCTCACTATGTTGCCCAGGCTGGTCTCAAACTCTTGGGGTCAAGCAATACTTCTACCTTGTCCTCCCAAAACTCTGGGATTATAGGCATGGGTCACTGCACCATGCCATGACTCCAATTTTGAAAGCCGATGTACAGTGTATAAAATGTTATTGAACAGCATTGCATGCTACGGAGAAATCTTTCACAATATACCTTTGTATCACATCTGCACGTGTACCCCCTAATTCTAAAATGAACGTCGAAAAAAAAGGAAGAGTAAACTTCATGGTTGTCTTCTTTTAAAAAATTGCTACAGTCAACCTATCCTTCAGCAACCACTACCCTCATCAGTCAGCAGCCATCAACATCAAGGCAAGACCCTCCACCAGCAAAAAGATGACTTGCTGAAGGCTTGCATGATTATTAGCATATTTTAGCAATAAAGTATTTTTAAATTAAGGTATGTACTTTTTTTAGATAAATGCTATTGTGCACTTAATAGACTACAGTATAGTGCAAATATAACTTTTAAATGCACTGAGAAACCAAAAAGCCATGTGGCTCAACTTATTGCAATATCCTCTTTATTTCAGTGGTTAAGAACTGAACCTACAATATATGCTCGCCTGTGCTGGCACAAGAATAAACAGTCAAAAGAAAAGAATGGGCCAGGTGTGGTGGCTCATGCCTGTAATCCCAGCACTTTGGGAGGCTGAGGTGGATGGATCATAAGGTCAGGAGATAGAGACCAGCCTGACCAACATGGTGAAATCCCATCTCTACTAAAAATACAAAAATTAGCCTAGCATGGTGGCGCGTATCTGTGATCCCAGCTACTCAGGAGGCTGAGACAGGAGAATCACTTGAACCTGGGAGGCGGAGGTTGCAGTGAGCTGAGATCATGCCACTGCATTCCAGACTGGGTGACAGAGCGAGACTCTGTCTCAAAAACAAAAGAAAAGTAAAGAAATTAAAATCCAGAAACAGCCCCTGTTACACACAAGACTTGAGTTATTGATAAAGTTCTAATTTTTAATCAATGGCAAAAGTTTGAATCATTCACTAAATGATCATAGGACAATTGCTTACTTACAAAAAAAGATATTTCCTATTTCACACTCTGTACCAAGATAAACTTCAGCTAGATTAAAGAGTTAACATGTCTTTCAAAAATCACAAAATAATAACAGTAAATATAGTGAATATTTACCTGACATCAGAGTCAAAAAGTCTTTTTGGCATAAAGATAAAAGTAGAAAATAAGAATGAAATGATTGAATTGATTACCCCCAAATTTATTCATTTGGTGCTAAGCAAAAATAAGCAAACAAATATCTGCAATATGGCATTAAAGTATTTATCAAGCTCATCTCATTCAGTCCTCAGAACCATCCAATAAAATAAATATGATTATCTCTATCTCTACTGGTATACAAGAATAAACAGGGGTTTTATAAAATTAATGTCACCGAGCTAAAAACTCTGGCACCAAGATTCAAAACCAGGTCTGCCTAACTCCAATATACATCTGTTGACCACTTCACCTTACTGGCCCTTGTGTATGACAGGTTAATAGATTCTTAATATATGAACAGCTCTTAAAACTCAATAATAAAAATAAAAGGACCCCCAATAAAAATGGGCAAAATACAAAAACAGGCAATTCACAGAAAAAGAATATAGTCAGTATGAGAATAAGAAATGCTCACCATCACAGGTATTAAGGGGAAGGCAAATTAAAATGAGATACTGTTTTCTTTTTTTTTTTTTGAGACGGAGTTTCGCTCTTGTTACCCAGGCTGGAGTGCAATGGCTTGATCTTTTTGATCTTGGCTCACGGCAACCTCCGCCTCCTGGGTTCAGGCAATTCTCCTGTCTCAGCCTCCTGAGTAGCTGGGATTACAGGCACGCGCCACCGTGCCCAGCTAATTTTTTGTAATTTTTAGTAGAGACGGGGTTTCACCATGTTGACCAGGATGGTCTCGATCTGTTGACCTCGTGATCCACCCGCCTCGGCCTCCCAAAGTGCTGGGATTACAGACTTGAGCCACCGCGCCCGGCCGATACTGTTTTCTTTTAGCAAAGATTTTATTTACTTATTTTTTTAATATCCTGTATTTGGTGAGTGTATCCACTAAGGATCTTTGGCTGTGGGCAATGGCATCTGAAATTTAAAATTTGGACTGTTCTGTTTAGAGCGCTGGCTTCTCTGTTCAAGACTCTAATGAAGGAGTGGGCAGGTTACGGGCGAGGGAAGAGTGCAGTGGGTGTAACCTGGATCGAGTGTGCTCAGCTTTGATAGGAGAAGTACCTGCTGATTGGCAACCAAACAGAATTACAGGAGTCAGGGAAAAATGGTTCCACCAATGGAAGAGATGCCGGGCAGACAAAACAATAGAAGTCTATTGCAGGGCAGGTAGAAGCGCTTGTACACCCACTTACTTCCTTTCTGAAATTTAATTTGACCAGACATATCCAAAGCCTGGAAATACGATCATGCCTTCTGACCTAGCATTTCTAACTTTGACAAATTTACTTTCAGAAAACAGTCAGAAATGTGACTCCAAAATGTACACACAAAAAAGATTGTTATCACAGTTTTATTTATGAAAGTGGAAAATTGGAAACCTACATGTTTCAAAATAGGATTCTGATTATGTATATTTTGGCACATCTTTTTTCCCTAAAAACTTGACTGAAGTGATGTTTTGACATCAGTCTAACAAAACAGCATGTGGCCATCAGAAAACATAATGTTCAGAGAACATTTCATAGCACAGGAAAATGTCTACAAAGTAATTTCCATTAAAAAAGCATTTCATGGCTGGACATAGTGGCTCACACCCATAATTCCAGCACTTTGGGAGGCCAAGGTGAGAGAGTCACTCGAGTCCAGGAGTTAGAGACCAGCCTGAGCAACATAGGAAGACCCCGTCTCTGCAAAAAATAAAAAATAAAAAATAACAAAGCAAAACAAAACAAAAAAACTAACCAAATATGGGGGTACACACCTATCGTCCCAGGTACTCAGGGGGCTGAGGCAGGAGGACTACTTGAGTCCAGGAGGTCGAGAGTTCAGTGAGCCATGATGGCGCCATGCACTGCAACCTGGGTGACAGAGAAAGATCCTGTCAAAGAAAGAAAAGAAAGAGAAACAGACAGACAGAGACAAAAGAAAGAGAAAGAAAGAAAAGAAAGGAAGGAAGAATAAGACAAAGATGAACAAGAAGAAGGAGAAGGAGGAGAAAGAGGAGGGAAGGCAGGCAGGCAGAGAAAGGAAGCAAGGAAGGAAGGGAGGGAGGGAGGGAGGGAGAGAGGAAGGAGGGAAAGAAGGAGGGAGGGAGGAAAGGAGGGAGGGCAGGAGGGAGGAAAGGGAAACAGGGAGGGAGGGAGGGAGGGAAAGAAAGGACAGTGCATATATTTTTTCCTCCAAAATAAAGCTTTCAAGGAGGTGCCAGAATTCCAAAAGTAACATCAGATCATAAAGACAGAGGCTCTCCTATCTTACTAGCATAGAAGACATCACGAAAGAGTCATATTAAACCCAAGGAAGAGCTTCCTGCTATAAGGGCTGTCCTGGATTGGAATGGCTAAGTGAGACAAGCCCTGTAATGTCACCTTCCTTTCTCAGGATCAGCTGAGGTACTGTCCTGCTTTCAAAACCCATGAACTGAATGAAGATGATGGGGAGGCAACGGTGGGAAGTCCCAGCTTAGTCAGGAATTAGCTGTGTGTCCTTGGGCCAGTCCCCTCCCATCTCTATCTCAGAGTTTGCTCGTCTTTCAAACGGGCAGGCTGAGAGGATGTACTTCGATGGAGTTTCTGTTTAGAATGTCCCTTAGGATGCCAAGTCTCAGATCCCTCTCTTCTACCAAATGCAGGAGCCAACATCAGAGATACAAATCTAGGGTGGCAGTCCCTGGATGAGATGACATCTTTTTGCTCAGAGAAGAGGTTCCAGCAGCCACACATTGCTGTGATCAGCAACCTTAGTCCAACCAAAAGCCTCAACAGCCAAGCCAGCCCCAGGTAGAGGGCAGCTCTACCAGAAGCCACTGCAGGTGATCTCGCCAAAGGCGAGGTGGTCTTTCTCCCGTCCACAGGGCCCAAGAGGAGAGGCCAGGGCTGGGCTCGCTTACTATGCCAGCCTGGGCCAGCCTTCTCTGGTAGGAAGCTCTGGCCTAAACCTAATGCCTTCTCCCTTCCTAGGCATCCAGAACTCTGCAAACCCCCACTCCTTTGCTTTTCAAAGCTGACCTCTGTCCCCTGCCTGGACATTGCTGGGGCTTCAACATCTTAGAGAGCCAGGAAAGCAAATGTGTTACTCAACTACCTTCACTTGGTATACAGATGAAGAAACTGAGGCCCAGAGGACGCTTGCCCAAGATCACAGCCCGAGTCAGCAATACAGGCAAGACTGGATCTGAGTCCCCCGCTGCAGGATGTGTACCACCCTGTCTTCAGCTATGGCATTAGCTTCCTTTGCACTGACGCCTTAGGCCCTCAGAGGGTGAGGCCAGGACGAAGCAGAGGCGGTGTCACTCCACACCCCCTCTCTTTCCTCCCCTGACTAAGTTTCTCTGGCTTTCCTGAGGCTGTAGTGTTAATCTGGGGGGCTCTGAGCCCTGGGCTGGCAGCAGAAATATGAGGATCCAGAGCCTCCTCCTCCTGGGAGTCCTCCTGGCTGTGGGGAGTCAGCTGCCTGCTGCCTTTGGCAGGAAGAAGGGAGGTGAGTGCGGGTAAATCCCTCTGCTCTGGGGACTACTGTTCTAGAGAGAGTGAGGGTTTGGGGGAAGGCAGGTAATTCCCTGTGGGGGATGTGTGTGCGTGCGTGTGTGGATGTGTGGATGCCTGATTCTTAGTGCTTTCAGAAGCCCGTGCTTTCATTTGTACACCTTTGTGCCTGTCCACCTGCCTGTGTCAATATCTGTAAGTGTCTTTTCTGCCAGTTTCTCAAGTGCTTGTCCGTGCCTGTCTATACGTCAGGGGATGGCGGCGCGGGGAGGCGGGATGCATGTGCCTGTCTCTGTCTAGACATGAGTCTTTGTGCCTGCTCATCTGTGCTAAGCTCTGTCTGCACACATACACATAGGAATGGCTGCATGCATGTGTCTGGGCTTGGTGCTTGTCCATGTGTTTCCATGTGTGCCTCTGTGCCTCTGAGTGTGGGGAGGGGCCCTGTCTGCACCTGCTGGTCTGTGGTGTGACTGGGTCCATGGGTCCACCCTCCCCCCATCTGTGGAAAGGACTTGGTAATTGAGGAAAGGGTATGGTTTCTGGGATCTGGGCTTTGTTGGGAGGAAGCTCCCTGTCCCTATGCCCACCCCTGACAAGGCTGGGGCTGGCCTGCTGACAGGTGAGGGAGGGCTGCTGAGTGGCTAGACAGGTGACTCCTGATCTGGGTGAGGCCTCCACCTCTGTCCTCTCTGGGGCTGTAACACTCTAACCTACATTCAGCTGTGTAGGCCTGGCCCTGCCTTAAAGAAAGAGGACAGTAATGGGGACAGGCCAAGGAAGGAAGGACACTGGTAAGCTCCAAGGCTGGACCCTGTGTTGGCTGTGATTCCTACACCACCACATAACTCCTCGATGGGATGCTGTGAGGACAGGACTATTTTTATCCCCATTTTGCAGATGAGGAAAACTGAGGCCTAGCGGGGAACCACTTAACAAGGTCAAAGACTGACTCTGAGTTAGTGTCAAAGGTGGCATTTGAATGTGGGTGTCTGAAATCAGAAAGACTCACCGTACCAACTATTACGGCAAAAACCCAGGACTGTACAGAAGAACATACCCCAACCTAGGAAGGAGCCGAGAAACCAAAGAATGACGTGGATAAGCCCAGCCTGGCACGTGCATGAGTTTATTAAGACTCCATACAGGGCACTCCCGGAAGGCAGCAGGACAGGTCTGGAGACTTACTCCTTGTAAAACAGGTTCCTATGTTTTTCTCTCAGGAGTAAGTGGTGTCTTAAGGAATAAGGGCCTGGCACACAGTAAGTGCAGTATAAGTGGGTGATTTGGGGGAGTCATTGTGTTCCCAGGGAGCATGCCCCGATGTTCAGCCCAGCTGCTCAGAGGTGAACGGCTGGCACAGCAGAAACTGAACCTGCTCAGGGCCACTCTGCATTGGCAGGTGTGACACACCTGTCTCTCCCCCAGTTCACCACACCTTGTCCCTTACTGGTTTCTCTCCCATAAGACAGCTTCCTGGCTGTTGGGAGAATTTCAAACCATGGAGGAAAGTGATGGGGCCGAGGGAAGGGGAGTCTCAGTTTGTTGTCTGTGGAAGCCCAGCCACCTCTGTTTATAAGAGCTCCCCGTTCTGTCCCTTCTCACTCAGACATCTGGGTGTCTCTGGTACAAAGAGCCTTGCATAGTCCCTGACAAATAGTAAGTGTCTAATTAAATGCCGTCGGTAGTTATGTGGTATTGGGAAGATATATGTGTCTGTGTAGCTCTGTGCATATGATTCTGTATATATGACTGTGTATGGGTATATGTGTCTCTGTTCACACACAGATGCTATATATTTACATACATGACTGTGTGTGTCTGAGTGTCTATCTGTGTGTATCTGTGTGGGTAGGCATGTGTATATGACAGTATGCATAATCACTATTTAATGGTGATTATGTTCCAGCTCATATGTACATATATGACTGCCTGTTTATATATGTGTGTTTATAAATATACTGCATATATAACATATCTGATATATGTCTATATGTATATATGCATGTGTATTAACTTGAACCATGTAAGGCGGGGGCAATGGCTCATGCCTATAATCCCAGCACTTTGGGAGGCTGAGATGGGCGAATCACCTGAAGTTGGGAGTTCGAGACCAGGCTGACCAACATGGAGAAACCCTGTCTCTACTAAAAATACAAAATTAGCCGGGCATGGTGGTGCATGCCTGTAATCCCAGCTACTCAGAAGGCTGAGGCAGGAGAATCACTTGAACCCAGGAGGCGGAGGTTGTGGTGAGCCAAGATCATGCCATTGTACTCCAGCCTGGGCAACAAGAGTAAAAGCTCTGTCTCAAAATAAATAAAGAAATAAGTTGAAGCATGTAAAATTGCTACTTTTGTAGGTACAACAGTTGACTATCAGCAATTTCCTATTGTTAAGCCTGTAGGTAATTGTGTGTCTAGATCTAAGTGTGCTTGTATATTTGACTGTGTATGTGTATCGTCTGTGTGTACAAGTGTATGTAGTTAACTATGTTTGGATACAATTCTTTTGCTCTCTAAGTTTACACACCCGTGGCACATGCAGCTGGATGACCACCTGTGTGTGGGCCTTGATGCACACATCTTTGAGTGGAGAAGCTGGTTTGGAGGGAGCGTTAGGAAAGGCAGGCAGAGTGAGTGTGACCACCCAGAGCCTCTCACACTCGCTCTGCACGTGCCAGGCTTTTATCCCCACCTCTACACAGCAGCTACCGTGGTTCTTCCACTTGAAATGCCAGCCATCATGTCCTCTCCCTATCTGTCCATTCCAGGGCTCAGTTCCAGGCCCCTGTCCACAGAAGCTCTCCCTGCCTGACCCACTCTCCTCCACTGGCTTTGAGTGCAGGCAGCTCCATCTGGACCACCCTTTGAGTCCTGAGCACCTTTGGCTTGAACTTATGAATTCAGAGCTAAACCCTGGACCTCAGTTTCCCAGGAGCCCTGGCGTCACCCCTACCCCCACAAACCCATACCGTTCCCCCTTCCCCAGGCCAAGCCTCTCTTTCTCCAGCAGGGGGCAGCAATTCAATTTAAACCAACCTGATCTGACAGCTGAAGTTGACTTTGAGCATGTGCAATGTGAGCAAGGTGCCTACCTATGTGTGCAGCCAACAGCCATGCAAGGGCTGAGGGGGTGGGACAGACACAGAGGTAAAGTCACAACACCAGATCCAGCTGCCCCTGGGGGCTCTTGAACATTTCCTCTGATGCCGGATTTAACTGAAGGCCTGAGACCTGCTCCATCCCTACAGCTCAAAGACAGCTCAGAGCGGAGACTCACAGAGGTCAGAGGGAGCCAGGCCTTGCCAGTCCTAACCCTGGCCCATGTGGGTCTGAGCAAGTCACCACCTCTTTCAGGCCTTGATTTCCTCCTCTACATGGAGGAAGATACTGATTTCCAGCTTTGTGCATGAAATCTGAAAATGGCCCAAAATCCCAGCAAGAAGAGTGGGTAGGTAAGCTCTGGGACAGAACATTCTACAGCTGTTCAGAGGAATGCCTCAGAGACAGAGTTAACGCCTGATCCCTGAAACCATGCCATTTGCAACGGTGATGAACACAACAGTGCAGACGTGGCAGCTGTGGCTGTGACAGTGCCCCAGGCCGGCCGCCACAGGCACACGTGCAATGCTGAGCCTCACTTCAAAACCCTTCCTTTCCACATCACTGAGCCCCTAGTATTGTGCACCAAGTGTTGTGACACCGACTGATGGTGAGCAAAGCTAGCAGCGTGTCCACCCTCATAGCCTCCAGCCAAGTGAGAGACACAGACAAACAGATGCAGCGCCATCAACTCTGGAGGGAAGAACTGAGTGTGGGGTTGGGGTTGGGGCTGACCTAGTTAATGGGGGTTCAGAGAAGCAGGGTCTTCTGAAGATGTGATGTTTCTGCTGAGTCCTAGTGAGCTGACGAGGTGAATGGAGTGTAGGAGAAGTGCACCAGGCAAAGGATGCAGCAAGAGCAAGAACCCTGCAAAGAGAGCTGCTTGGAGCAGATCAGGAGCCACTGTGTGGAGGAGCAGTAGAGGATGAGGCTAGAGACATGGGCAGGGGCCGGACCAGGCACGGCCTTTTTGGCCCCAGTGAGATGTTGGGTTTCATTTCTCCCTAACATTTGTGCCATCTGAGTCTCAAACTAGCCCAGCTTCCCATTTCACAGCCAGAAAACTGAGGCTTGGAGTCATTTGAAACAAAACAAAACAAAACTAGCCAAAGGACAGGCAAGAAGTAAGGGATGGAGAATTTGGATCTTGTAATTCCTAGGTCAGCGCTTATTGCATAACCCTGAGCTTCCTTCAGCTGTAATATTGGGAGATTCTCTTTCAGAGAAATCGGGGGGCTGCCCGCCAGATGATGGGCCCTGCCTCCTGTCGGTGCCTGACCAGTGCATGGAAGACAGCCAGTGTCCCTTTACCAGGAAGTGCTGCTACAGGGCTTGCTTCCGCCAGTGTGTCCCCAGGATCTCTGGTAAATGTCCCCTTCCACCGTGCTGACCACCCCAGCCCCAGGCTCCAGAGCCAGTGGGCAGGGGCAGAGCTCACCCAGGTTCCTGTGTTGCAGTGAAGCTGGGCAGCTGCCCAGAGGACCAACTGCAATGCCTCAGTCCCATGAACCACCTGTGTCACAAGGACGCAGACTGCTCCGGCAAGAAGCGGTGCTGCCCCAGCGCCTGCGGCCGGGATTGCCGCGATCCTGCCAGAGGTACGGCTCCTGGGTGCCTGGGGCAGGTGCCTTCCCTGTCTGAGCCCCAGCTCTGATATTTTCTCCATTGCTACAAGCTTAACAGGATGCCTCCCCAGAACTTAGGGCCTCCCATGGCCAGGACTGGGGAATCAGATAGTGGGTGGGGAGTTCTGCTAGGATGACAGAGGAACCGGGAGTCCTTGGTTCTCTTCTTGAGCTTGCTGTAAACTGCTCTGGGCTTCAGTTTACCGTTTTGAAGGAGATGGAGGAGTCCTGCCTTAGTGGCATCCAGAGCTGAGCTGGTGGGCCCTAGATAGGAGACTGAGGTCAGAAACCAGAGCCCTACTATGGAAAGGAATTAACCCTTTCTTTCTCTTTCCTCAGGCTAATTCTGATTTAGGACCTGTGGCTCTGCACCTCAGGTGGGAACCAATGGAAAGAGTTCACCATGATGGGAGGTCTGGGAACCTGCCGCTGACAGCACTATCTCTACCAGCGGTGGTTCCAGCTTTCTGATGAACACTGACCTGCTGTCACTTCCCTGCAACCCACCCACCCCTGGTTTCTCCTCCTAGGAGTCAAGGTCCATAGTCTGACCTCGGAGGAAGGCGCCTTTATCACCCCAGTACCCTGCACCGCTGCTACCTGGGCATCCCCCCCCCCCGACACTTTCACGCCTCTCTGTACATGCTGCTTCCTCCACAAAAAATGCCCAATTCAGGCAGATCCTGACCTCTCCCTCAGGCAGCCCAACCACCCAGAATGAATATTCTAACAGAGTTTTCCAAGCCTCAGTCATTCACCTCTTTCACGATTTTCGCCATGCCTACAAAACAGCATGATGACGGGTTGCGTGCTGCCTGTACCACCATCTACTTAATGTTTTCTTTAAGTGACTCACTTTTGTATATAAATAAATGCATTTCAAAAGAAAGTTGATATCACTACTATAAATGGATAAACGAGATCAATTGCCACAAATAGAATTATGAAAACAAATGCAATGGAAACAGCTCAGTTCCATTAAAGTGAATCATGCCAGATTAAATGATATTAAATAGTGTTATCAAACTCTAGCTACATACAGCCACCTGCCGAGACTGAGCCTGAAGCCTGCACTCGGTCTGTGTTTTTGGCTTTTTGTTTTTTGAGACAGTCTTGTGCTGTCGCCCAGGCTGCAGTGCAGTGGCTTGATCTCAGCTCACTACAACCTCCACCTCCTGGGTTCAACCAATTCTCCTGCCTCAGCCTCCCGAGTAGTTGGGTTACAGGTGCCTGCCACCATGCCCAGCTAATTTTTGTATTTTTAGTAGAGATGGGTTTTCACCATTGACCAGGCTGGTCTCAAACTCCTGGCCTCAAATGATCCATCTGCCTCAGCCTCCCAAAGTGCTGGGATTACAGATGTGAGCCACCATGTGCAGCCAGTCTACATTTTAATCAATGAATATTTAAAGGGTTAAAGATGCAGACCTCTAAGCTGAGACTTTCTCCCTGGGGTAATCAGAAGGCTTGAGAAGGGAATATCTTTCTCACTCCAGTAGTCTGTGTTATGTGACACTGCATCCAGGTACATACTAAGATAACTTCAAATTGCCCCAAATTTGGGGAAATGTTGCTCAAATAGTTGGAATGCCACTATTATGGTGGGTCTCTCTCTACCACTGGGCCTCAAGAAACCTCACTCACCTCAATTTTTCCTGGGTCCAGTATGTAGTCAGGGTTTAATGAGTATCTCCTCTTGCTGGGAGAAGGGGTCAGTGTGAGAATCCAGACAGCTGGGTTCCTGACTCTCCCACTATCCTCCCAGGAAAGAGGCAGCAAATTCCCTGCTCTATCTCCTGGGCTTCTTGTGTCCAGCACAAGACTGAGGGTCTGGGTGGTCCACTGTGGAGGAAAACCTGGGAATCCTTGGTCTTCTTTCTCTTTCTCTTGACCTTGCAGTGTGATGACAGGTGCATCCTTCTGCACTCTGGGCTTCCATTTGCCCTGTTGGAAGATGGAAGGAATTCTACTTCCTCACCCATCTATTCCTTCTCATGGGATTCAGATGCTCAAATTGTTGACTCCAAAGCACCAAATGCTAACTATACATGGATATAGACTAAGGTTTTGGAGAGGGGAAGGAGAACTATCTGGGAGTCACCAACTCTGAGAGACCTTGGATATTTCTCTTCCTCTTTCTGGGCCTCGGTTTCCCCATCACATATACTTTCAGATAGTTAACACAGATAATATGGTAGATTGGGTTATGTACCCAAAATTGTCCCTTTCCCCTCCCCACCCCATGCTTACCATGGCTTCCCTCGGGGATAGTGAACATCCTGCCCCAGTGACTTGGGCTTGGCGACGAGACCTGTTCTGGCTAATGGGATGTGGGTGGTAGTGACAGCATAGCCTGTTTCAAAGCAAAACAGACAAAACATCACCCTTCTTCTTCGTGCAGTGGCACGATCTCAGCTCACTGCAACCTCCACATCCCAGGTTCACATGATTCTCCTGCCTTAGCCACCTGAGTAGCTGGGATTACAGGCACCCACCATCATGCCCGGCAAATTTTTAAATTTTTATTAGAGACAGGGTTTTGGCCAGGCTAGTCTCAAACTCCTGACCTCAGGTGATCTGCCCTCCTCAGCCTCCCAAAGTGCTGGGATTACAGGCATGAACTACCACACCCAGCCCCTGCCCTTCTTGGAGCTTCTGCCCTCTGCCATGAAAAGAGCTTGCCCAGAGCTACTTGTCTTGCTGGAGGGACACACGGGGCAACCCTGAAGCTGAGCCGTTCCAGCAAAGCCTCAAACTTGCCAAAGAGAAATAAATATTTGTAGTAAGAAGACACAGAGATTCAGGGGTTGTTTTCCACAGATGTATGACAGTAAGAGCTTGATTAATTCAGATCTGGTTGTTAGTCTGTAATGAACATCTACTATAGACCTCCCACTTTCAAACATCATTTCATTCATCCACCCATAGCCCCGAGAAAGGCTATTTCCATTTGACAGTGAAGAAATAGCGGCTATGAGATAAGTGGCTTGCCCAAGACCCCTGGCTGAAGGACGATACAGCCAGGATTAAACCATACCATATTCCTCCCTCAAGAGTAATAAAGGCAGCGATAGCTAACAATTACAGATCACATGCCACGCACTAGGTATCATTTTAATCGTTTGACATGTATAATCTTGTATAATCTCATGAAATCCTCATTTCCTTATCAGGTAGGATTATTTTTCCCCATTTCGCACATGAGGAAACTGAAGCATAAAGAGGTTACTTTGGCCAGGTTGTCCCACTTGTAAGTACTGGAGCTGGGATTCACCCCAAGCGGCCTAACCATAAACTTTACATCCCTACTGACTACACTAATTACTTACAATTGGTCTTTGAAGATTCTTCCCAGCTCTTAAGATTCAATGTCCACATCTGAAAAATGAAGATCACAAAGACCCAAGAAGGTGAAGTGACCAGACTCAATTCTAGACAACTGGAACCCAAGCCTGTTGGTACATAGCTGATTGCCCTAGGTTTCTTTCCTCAAAGGCACGAGAGGGAAAATTCAGCTATAAATTAACATGTGTGTACTTTACCATGGGAACAGTGTATTTCAATTTTAAAGGTAAATTAAAGTTAAAACACTATGTTTCCTCTCCAGGCTCCCTTGCAGCTAATGACAATCATGTGATCCAAGACTGGCCAATCAGAAGTAAGGAAAATCTACTAGGCGGGGCTTCCTGACAAGCTATGGTTTTCCTAAGGAGATGGACTTGGCCTTTTGTCCATCATCCATTTACCCTGTATCCTTCCTGGAACATGGCTGCTGCCGCTAAACAGCCATCTGGTGTCCTTGAGGATTATTTTAGTTGGGTTCCCCCAAAATAAATCTTGAGAGGAAGAATCATATGATGGTGATGCTTTGGAAATGTTTCCAGGAAAAATGGGTATAGGAGTGCAGAAGTTCACCAGGAAGAGAAGCAGCCAGTGATGATGTGAAATCCAGTGAAGTCCCACAGGGCAGTTCTAGAAACAAGCATAGATGGAGCACATACATTCTCAGGTACTGCAGGCTCTTCCTGTGTGGAACCATAGCAGGCTCTGGCAGCCTCTGGGAAGCCCCAGATACCAGCTGTCAGGAGGCAAAACATACCAGGAGCCTGTGTGCGCAAAAGTGTAAAGGATCCCAGAGGAGCTGTGGGCACAAATGAGTCACATCAGAATGGTGGAGGAGGAAGTGACAAAGAGCCTGAGTCTTCAGTGACATTCATGAGCAGCTGCACCTACCTTGGCCTGCCAAAAAAAAAGTAAACTCTTCTCTAGTGAAGTCACTGCAATTCTGTTTCTGTTCCTGCAGCTAAACTAAATTCTAACTGATGGTCAGGGTAAAGAAAGGGCAGGGAGAATTGTTCATGGAGAGGGAACTCCATGTGCTAATCCTCATCTCAATCCTGAAAGATAGGTGTTCCCATTTACAGATGAGCAAGATAAGGATCCAAGAGAAGTGCTTGGCCCAAAGTCACACAGCAGTTTAGTGGCAAAGGCAGGATTCAAAGGTAGTGTATTCATTATCTACTGCTGTGTAACAAGTTTTCACAAATGTAGCAGCTTAAAGCAACACACATTTATTATCTCATGGTTTTTATGTGTCAAGAACCTGGGCACAGCTTAACTGGGTCTCCTGCTTCCATTTCTCTGCTTCACAAGACTGCACTTCAGGGATCGGCCATGGTGGGAGTCTCATCTGAGCCTCAGTTAAAGACGGATTCACTTTCAAATTCTCAGGGTTGTTGGCAGAATGTCAGTTCCTTGAGGACTAATGGACTGAATACCACAGCTCCTGGCTGGTTGTTGGCTGGAAGTCACCCTCATTTCCTTACCTTTCCTGTATGGCAATTTGCTTCATCAAAGCCAGCTGGAAGTCACAACCTTAAGTAATGTAATCAGAGAAGTGATACCCCATCACCTTTGCTATATTCTGTTCTTTAGAAGCAAATCAGTAAGGTCTGCCCACACACAAGGGGAGGAGACTGCACAAGGGCATGAACACCAGGAGGCAGACATCACTGGGAGACACGTTAGAAGGTGCCCGTCACATCCGGGTCTACTTCATTCCAAAAATTTCTGTATTTTCTGCAACATCAAGCTTATGCTGAAGGTAAAACCCCATGGATTTGAATGGCTAATCCTGGCCAGGGAGTGAGGGAGAATTTGGGGGACAGCCCATCCATGGCACATGAAGGACAGGACTACCCCATTTTTCCCACCCATAATGCCCATCTTCCCACTCCTGTGGCTCACAAATTCCACGGAAACTTTGTTTACCTCTCACTATGTAATCTGGGATGAAACCAGATCCTGGTTTCATTCTTTTCTGCCCTTGGTAAACAGGTCTGTCTTTTCTGTTTTGGAAACCCTCTCTTCAGCTCCAGGAAAAGCTCCTGAGTCTTGAGTGGTAGTGAAGGCTGCACACAAACTCTTAGGCCAGGAAATAGATGACCTGTTTCTCTGCATATCTGCCTCAGTTTCCCTGTTGGTCAAATGAAGGAATTGGGCAAGATGGTTACTAAGCAGCTTTCCGTTCTAACTTCTTCTTTTGAGGGAAAAACTAAAGTGGCATAGCCTAGAGCTGTGCTGTCTAACAGGGCAGCCATGAATCACATGTGGCTACTGAGCACATATACTATGACTAGTCCAAACTGAGATTTGCTATAGGTGAACATGGAAGGCATTCCTTCCGGTGATCCTCATCCCTGTATAGTCTCTTCCTCTTTAAGTGTAGGTGGAACCTGTGAATGGGTGTTACATGGCAGAAAGCAGATTGCCCTGGGTGGGCCTGGCCTAATCAGGTGAGAGTTTTAAAAACAGAGTTTTTCTCTGACTGGTTACAGGAGAGGAATGCAGCACTCTTGTGTGCCTAAAAGCAAGCAAGCATTCATGCTATGAAGTGCCTATGGGGCAGGAACTGTAGACAACTTCTAGAATCTGAGATTGATCACCAACAGACAACTAGCAGGAAGAGAGACCTCAGTCCTATAACCACAAGGGAATGAATTCTGCCAACAGTCTGTGAGCTTGGAAGAAAACTCTGAAGCTCACATGAGAACCTCAACCCTTGCCAACACCTTGTTCAACCTGATGAGACCCTGAGGACCCAGCCATGCCATACCCAGACTTCAGACCGATAGAAACTCTGAGATCATCAGTTCGTATTGTTTTAAGCTACTAAATTGTGGCAATTTGTTATTGAGCAATTTTAAAAAATAGTACAAATTGTATAGAAAGTACAAAAAAAAAAGAAAATGTAAATTACCTCAATAATTTATTTACTGATTCCAGTGTTGAAATTATAATATTTTGGATTCAATAAATCACTAAAAATACAGTTGACCCGGAAACAACATGGATTTGAACTGCAAGTATCCACTTATATACAAATGTTTTCCAATAAATACATTGGAAAATTTTTGGAGATTTGTAATAATTTGAAAAAACTTGAAGATGAACCATATAGCCTAGAAATATCAAAAGCATTAATAAAAAGTTAGATGCATCATGAACTCCTATGACATATGTAGATACTTTATTTATGTGTTAATCGACTTTATGTTATTGATAAGGTTTCTGGTGAACAGTAGGTTATTAGTATTTAAGTTTCAGAAGAGTCAAAAGTTATACTCCAATTTTCTATACATGGAGAATTGGCTCCCCTAACCCCCACTGTTCAAGGGCTAACTGTAATTTCACCTGTTTTTTACTTATTTAAAATGTTGCAATTAGAAATTGAAAAGTATATATATGAGCCAGGCACAGTGTCGCATGCCTGTAATGCCAGCATTTTGGGAGGCTGAGGCAGATGGAACATTTGAGGCCAGGAGTTCAAGACCAGCCTGGCTAACATGGTGAAACCTCTTTTCTACTAAAAATACAAAAATTAGCCAGGTGTGGTGGTACATGCCTGTAATCCCAGCTATCAGGAAGCTGAGGCTGGAGAATTGCTTGAACCCGGGAGGTGGAGGTCGCAGTGACCCAAGATGGTGCCACTGCACTTCAGCCTGGGCAACAGAGTGCATGAGACTCCATTTCAAATAATAAAAAATAAAATAAAATTATCTATGTGTCTCACACTATATCTATTGGACAGTGCTGGCCTAGAGGACTCAAAAGTCAGCTATGAAACCTCTGGCAAGTCCCCACACCTCTCAAAGCATTTCTTACCTTAGAGATAGGAATAATAATAGCACCTACCCCGCAGATAAATTTGCAGTTTGAGTGAGAATGAGGTCTATGCTTGGCCCAAGGTAAGTACTCAATAAATGTTGGTAACTATCATTATTATTAATAACAATAGTTGCAAAGGCTCCTATCCAGGCCCTAGTCTCCAGTAGCCTCTCCCCAACCAGGCACACAGTAGCCACACAATAGGTACATTTGTGGGGATTTTGCAACCTCTACAAAGCTCTTTGTCACATGTTCTTTGCCCTCACAACCCAATGCACAGGTGGGAATCAGGAACCTGTGGCAGGTAAGGACACTTTGCCTCAGGGGGTAAAATGAGCATTTCAAGCTTCATAGCTCAGCTAGGAAGAGCCCGGGGCTCCGAGGGAGATGAGGCCACCTTCTACAGCTCCCTAACTCAGATGCCCACAGCTTGAGAAAGTGACTGGAGCTCACCCCTAAAATGGGGGACATAAGATCCTGGCCTTGTCAAGTGTGTGCCAGGAATAACTGAGATCAATCAGTGGCAGCAGATGAACTAGCCTGGCACATACTAAACACTCAATTAAGCAAATCATGATTACTGCTGTTCCTTTGCCAGAGAATTCCAGTTTCTGCTGAAATCCCTCTCTAGGGGGAATCCTCATGCCCTAAATGACCCCTCCTTCCCGGGCCCGTGACTCGGGAGGATGCCCTTGCTGTTAGCCCCAGTCTCCAGACACCACCACCCCCTCCAACCGAGTCAGGAATAGAAACCACCGCCTCCGGCCGCCAGCGGCCTCACTCCTTCCCCCCGCAGCAGCGATCGATGCGGCCTTCAGCCGCGGGGGACAGGCAAGGAAGAAGGAAGGAGGGGGCAGCGGGGCCTCCTGCAGCAGGAGGCTCGGCGGGGCAGAGGCGAGACAGAGTATAGCCAGCGGCTCCCTGCCTCGGTACCTTTGGGACAGACGCGCGGCACCTGGCAGGTGCCACGACAGGTAAGGGGTCTCCTTTGGGGAGGGGCGTGGCCCCGGGACGGTCCCGGGCGGCCAGAGTGGGAGGCGGGGCTGCCTGGGGCTCCTGGTGCTCTTGCCCCCTCTTGACTACCCCAAGGAGGAAGCAGTGTGGGGTGGCCGCGCTTTGAGACCCTGGCTGGTCTTGCTTGCTCATCTGTAAAATGGGGTTAGAAAACCTCCTTGGCAGGGTTGGTGTAGGGATTAAACTGAGTGAGGTGTGGACGGAGCCCAGAGAAGTGACCAGCAGGTAGAAGGTGCTCAAGATAAGTGTGTGGAGAGACAATTAAATAAAAAAGCCAGGTCTCCAACCTTAGCAGTGCCATGGACTGGCTGGGTGATTTTGAACAAGTAACTTAATCTTTCTTACTGATATTCACATTCTTGTCAGGAAATGTTTGTTGAATTATTTATCCCATTTCGTAGAGCAGGAAAGTGAGTTCTAGATGGATGAAGGGATTTGCCCAATATCATACTTCTAATTGGAACTGGATTAGAAATTTCATTTTTGATGCCAAATGCAGGTGGAGATCCAAGTGGAGGTGGGAGTGGAGCTACATCGCATGTTTTTGTGCATTGATTATGTGCCAGGGACCATGCTGCCGATAAACATCTTGCATCATTTAATCCTCTAAGTCTCTTATGGAAAGTGTGATGTTACCCAGTTCCTCTGACAGGGACACAAGCCCAGAGAGGGCAATGCATGCACTCAAGGTCAGCAGCTAGTCAGTGGCAGACCCAGGTCTGACCAGAGGGAAGGATTAACATTTATTGAGCACCTACAGTTTTCCCAGGGCTTTGAACATATACCACAATAATAATTCATCCAAAGCAAAATTATCCCCATTCTAGAGGAATAAAAGCCCACAATGGGAAGGAGACTAGCCTGAGGTCACACAAGTGACAGAGCTAAGGATGGAACCCCAACTCTATTTACTGCCAAGCCCAGGTGCTTTGCACACACTTAATCTCTAGTCTAGGCATTACTGAACCCATAGTGCAAATGAGATTGCCAATGGTGAGAAGGTGTCACTAGCCCCCAGTTCCAGCAGAGCCAGGAATCAGTGGGTAGTGGAAGAACCTGAATCCTTCCTGAGTATCCACTAAGGCTGAGCACGTTCCATAATCTACCTTAATCCTCCAGCAATCCCAGGAGGTAGGCGCTATTGTCTACGTTGTCCAGGAAATTGAGATCTGGAAAATAAATCAGGGGTGGAGATAAACCCAGGTTTGTCTGACTCCAGAAGATAGTGACACCAGTGGATAATTTATTAAATTCCTTCTGTGAGCCAAGCCCAAGAAAGACATTAGGTCATTTAATCTTCATAACCACACTTTGAGATGAATATTTTTATCTCCATTTGACAGAGGCTCAGATAAGTGATGTGACTTGCCTAAGGTGACACAAGACAGCCAAGGTTCAAGGTCAGGCCTGGCTGACTCTACAGATGCTTTACATAATCTAAACCAGGAGCTCTCAAACTTGACCATATATCTGAATCACTTTCCAACCTTGTTAGAACACAGACTGCTGGACCCCACCCTTAGAGTTCCTGATTCAGTAAATTATCGATGGCAGGCTGATAATTTGCATCTTTGACAAATTCCCAGCTGATGCTGATGCTGCTAGTCCGGGGAACACGCTATGAGAACCACCGGTCTAAAGTGACGCTCCCCACACCCCTAGGAGGTGAGTGCTACTATCTTCATTTTGCAGAAGAAAAAACAGGTTCAGAGGCTGGCGGACCCAAGATCCCACAGCAGACCTCTGTTGTAAATACATCCAAGTTTGTCCTGGAAAAGGAGACAGCCTATATGAGCACCCACTGGGTGCCAGGACATCCTGCAATTCCATCACTTTCACATCCTTCCAGGTAGATCTCAGCATTTATTTTCCAAAGGAGAAAAGTGAAATGGGGGGTGGGGTGGGTCAGTGATTTGGCCAAAATCCCCGTGTTGGGAGATGAAGGATAGTCAAACCCAGGCCTGACTCTGAGTCCAGAGGGCACCTGAGCACCTCCTAATCACCAGGTGCTTCACACAGCCTCCAACACCCTCAGCTGGTTGGATGGAGGAGGGGATTTTAACCTGGTCTTCCTGGAAGTGAAGCCCGGGAACTCTTCAGAGCGCCTTTCTGGTGTCCGCAGGGAGGAGCAATGAAGCCACGGTGTGCGAGTCCCCGGGCCCCGACACCGGGATCCGCTGGCGGCGGAGCGACGAGGCGCTGCGCGTGAACGTGGGCGGCGTGCGGCGGCTGCTGAGCGCGCGCGCCCTGGCGCGCTTCCCGGGAACCCGGCTGGGCCGCCTGCAGGCTGCGGCGTCGGAGGAGCAGGCGCGGCGCCTGTGCGACGACTACGACGCCGCTGCGTGCGAGTTCTACTTCGACCGGCATCCGGGCTTCTTCCTGGGCCTGCTGCACTTCTACCGCACCGGCCACCTGCACGTGCTCGACGAGCTGTGCGTCTTCGCCTTCGGTCAGGAGGCCGACTACTGGGGCCTGGGCGAGAACGCGCTAGCCGCGTGCTGCCGCGCGCGCTACCTGGAGAGGCGGGTGACCCGGCCCCGCGCCTGGGACGAGGATAGCGACACGCCTAGCAGCGTGGACCCGTGCCCAGACGAGATCTCCGACGTACAGCGAGAGCTGGCGCGCTATGGCGCGGCGCGCTGTGGTCGCCTGCGCCGCCGCCTCTGGCTGACCATGGAGAACCCGGGCTACTCGCTGCCCAGCAAGCTCTTCAGCTGCGTCTCAATCAGCGTGGTGCTCGCCTCCATCGCCGCCATGTGCATCCACAGCCTGCCCGAGTACCAGGCCCGCGAGGCGGCGGCCGCTGTGGCCGCGGTGGCCGCAGGCCGCAGCGCAGAAGGCGTGCGCGACGACCCAGTGCTGCGACGCCTCGAGTACTTCTGCATCGCCTGGTTCAGCTTCGAGGTGTCGTCACGCCTCCTGCTGGCGCCCAGCACGCGCAACTTCTTCTGCCACCCGCTCAACCTCATCGACATTGTGTCTGTGCTGCCCTTCTATCTCACGCTGCTGGCTGGTGCGGCACTGGGAGACGACGGTGGCACGGGCGGCAAGGAATTCGGCCATCTGGGCAAGGTGGTGCAGGTGTTCCGCCTCATGCGCATCTTCCGCGTTCTCAAGTTGGCGCGCCACTCCACCGGGCTGCGCTCACTGGGCGCCACGCTCAAGGTAGGGCCTCTGAGGCCAGTTTGGGGGGTGAGGGATAGGCGAGTGTAGCCATCTGGCAGGTTAGCAGGTGAGCTTACAAGCCTGCCAAGTCCAGGCGTTGTTGAACTGAGACACTGTCCTTTGTGCCAGGCACAGGGCTGAACACCAGGCGTATGTTTCACATGCAGTCTGAACATCCCAACAGCCCTGTAAAAAAGGACTTACTGTGGCCGGGCGCGGCAGCTTATGCCTGTAATCCCAGCACTTTGGGAGGCCAAGGTGGGCGAATCACCTGAGGTCAGGAGTTCGAGAGCAGCCTGGCCAACATGGCGAAACGCCGTCACTATTAAAAATACAAAAACTAACTGGGCTTGGTGGCGAGTGCCTGTAATCCCAGCTACCCGGGAGGCTGAGGCTGAAGAATCGCTTGAACCCGTGAAGCGGAAGTTGCAGTGAGCGGAGATGGGTCACTGCACTCCGGGAGGGGGAGGCGTGTCAAAAGGAGACTGTCAAAAAAAAAAAAAAAAAAAGAAAGAAAGGGCTTACCATTATCTCTATTTCCTGGGGAGAAAACTGCATAGCTTTGTCTTTCTTTTTCAAAACAAAGAAAAAAGACGGAGATCACAATATCTAGCACAAAGATGAACGAAGCAGGATGCTAACTGGCTTTCCACTAGAGCCTTTCTTTTGGCATTATCGGGGGCTCTGATAGTCTTAGGTCACTCTTAATAGGTAAAGTTTAGAAGTAGCCCAAGGAGCTAACACTTACTGAGCACTAAATCTGGGCCAATTTCACATCCATTATCAATTTAGTTCTTAGGAGAACTTCCTCAGGAAGATGCTATTAGTTATTTTCTTCCCGTAGATGAAGAAGCTGAGGTTGGAGGGTTGGCTCTTTAAAGCCTGGTTGCAATTTACTGAGCATCCTCCTTGTGCCAGGTGCTGCACTGGGGATGAATCACTGCCCTTGCAAGCTTGCACTTAAGGGGGTGAAATTAGCCTGGTTTGAAGAGGGAGGCAGGGTTTGAAGTGTGTGCCAAGCCCTGGAGAGAGAACAGGACGAATGCCGGGAGGGGGACATGGAGGGAAGGAGATTCCCAGAGATGAGATTGAAGAGGTGAGTGGGGCAGGGTACTGCAGGGCCATGAAGTCTTGACCCATGATTTTGGACTTAGTCCTGAGAGTATAGGAGAGTTCGTGAGAGGTTTAAATAGGGGTACGTGTTATTGTCACTGCTTTGCAGATGTGGAAACTGATGCTCCAAGAGGTGACAGTGCTTGTTGGAGTTTCTCAATAAGCAGTAGAGCCCAGAGAAGAACTCAGCTGTGCCTGGCTCCAACACCTCATGCTCTTTCTCCTAAAGCTAATGCAACCCTGCTGATAATCCCCAGATGATGCTCAAAGATCCCTTCCACCCAGGGCTTCGTACAGCCTCTTGCATGTCCTCAGGACAGGGCAGCCAGGAGAAGACTGGGCGCTGGCAGATGACCTAGCCAGAATCCTAGGGCACTGGGCAGGTACAAGGAATTCCATTTGCCAGACCCCCTGAGCTCAGCGTATCCCCAGGGAAGATCCCTGTGCCCCAGAACGCTACCCTGCCTCCTCCATGCAGAGCCAGGACCTGACTAGCTTTGTCTTCAGTGGGGGAAAAGAGTATTATTGATCAGGGCTGCCAGGGTCTAAGATCCAGGTGTAAATACTCCAAATGAGAGCCTTGCTATTCAAAGCGAGGCCCTTGACCACCAGCAGCTTTCTCATCACTTGGAAGCTTCCTAGACATATAGACTCACTGGCCCTACCCCAGACTACTGGGTTCTGCCAAGACCCCTGCATGATTACTCCAGGTATTAAAGTTGGAGAGACTCTGCTCTAGAGTAGGGGCTCTCAGCCTTGCATTACGCACATTTGGGACCAGATAATTCTTTGACGTGGGAGCGGCCCTGTACATTTTAGGGTGTTTAGCAGCATCCTTGGCCTTTACCCACTAGAGGACAGTAGCACACCTGTCCCAGTTGCAACAACCAAAAATGTCTCCAGACATTGCCAAATGTCCCTCTGTGGGGGGTAAGACTACCCTGTTTGAGAATCACTGCCCTAGAGGTTGGCCTCAGGGACAAAGCAAACATACACAGCCATAGGAAAGTGAATTCTGTGAGTGTCCCACAACTTATGTCCCCTCAGCTTCCTTGAGGAGTAAAAGATATTTTGATACTTTTCAGACCAGTCAAAAGTACATGAAACCACCTCTTTGCATGGTGAAATATAAACCATGGTTCTCTTGGTTCTGCAACAGTGTAAAAATCACAAGCTCTTCATTCCCTGGCTGTGGTGCTACCAGTAACCCCTGAGTTAGAAAAAACAGCTATATGCTAGCGGATACCTTGGACAACAGAAATAAGGCCTGTGCTCAATACTAGGGAGTTTTGCTGCCAACTATAGTTGAAAGATATTAATTTGGAGTCAGGGGACCGGGGTCTTGGCACCAGCTCTATCTTGCTCTGTGACTGTGGACCTGTCCCTTATACTCTCTGGGCCTCAGTTTCCCCATATGCCTAATACCAGGGCTCTAAGCCCATCCGCTCTGACTTGGGTTTCTATGTTCTTTTTCAGCACAGCTACCGTGAGGTGGGCATCTTGCTGCTGTACCTGGCCGTGGGTGTGTCAGTGTTCTCTGGTGTGGCCTACACAGCTGAAAAGGAGGAGCACGTGGGCTTTGACACCATCCCGGCCTGCTGGTGGTGGGGCACAGTGAGCATGACCACCGTGGGCTATGGGGATGTGGTGCCAGTGACAGTGGCTGGCAAGCTGGCAGCCTCAGGCTGTATCCTAGGGGGCATCCTGGTGGTTGCGCTCCCCATCACCATCATCTTCAACAAGTTCTCCCACTTCTACCGGCGCCAGAAGGCTCTGGAGGCAGCCGTGCGCAACAGCAACCACCAGGAGTTTGAGGACTTGCTGAGCAGCGTTGATGGGGTGTCGGAGGCGTCACTGGAGACATCCCGAGAGACTTCTCAGGAGGGACGGTCTGCAGATCTAGAGACCCAGGCCCCCAGTGAGCCTCCACACTCTCAGATGTATTAAAACCAGGGATCTATGACCCCCTGCCATGCCCCTACAGAGACTCCTCCCCAGCTAAAGTTCTTAAATAATAGTGAGCCTCTCACGCTGTCCTGAGAAATGAGATTCAAAAGCTGCATTCCTTCCTCCAAAGGCCCAGGGCGGGACAATGCTACCCTAGATTCTGTGAGATTCTGCAAGCAACTCAGAAAGCTTTGTAAGCCTGCCTCCAAGCCATCCATGAAGCAGGCATGAGCCAGGGGGAGGAATTTGGAAGGATGCTAATTATTCCTGAGCACCTCCTACATATGAACCAGGTCATGTTTGTCCCTGTGTTGGAGAAAGAAAATTATCCCCACTTCACAGATGAGGAAACTGAGGCTAAGAGATGAACAGTGACTTTCCCAGATGTCACACCATTAGAAGTGGCAGGGTCAGGCTTGGGATGTAGGCTTGTTGGTGGGCCCAGAGCAGTGCTCCATCAACTCCATCGTTCTTCTGCCTTCACGATGTTTATATGTGGTTTTTGGGGACTTGTGAATGCCCAGAGTTGATCCACAAGGTAAGAAATCCCATTCAGAGCCAGGGAAAGGTCCATACAGGGTATTTGGATATAGGACCTCTGGATCTCAGCTGTGGCTCTTTTCTAGGAGCTTCCAACAGGAGTTAGCTCTCAAAGATGAGTCCTGGAAGGAAGGAGGATGAGTCTTGAAAAGAAGTACAATAGTATTGTACTTGCCTCTTTAGCTGGTGTGCAAGATTTGCTAAGCAATAATCTTCCAACCTTCCTCCCAGGGCTGATATGAGAGAAGGACAATCTGAAGGAGCCCTGGCCTGAGATCTAGACCTGGCTGTGCCAGGACCTGCTATGTAAAGTGGTCCAATCCCTGCCCCAAGTCCAGATTCTAACACTTCTGTCAAATGGTCACAATCTGTGACCCAGAGGGGAATGAAAGCCAAGTGGAGTAGAGGGGTCTCTAACTGAAAGCCAGCTCAGCTCTGAAATGTTGGTGGCAGAGGCCTGCCATGTATGAACACTGGCTTCCCAGATCCCCCCAGTCTGACCTTGGCAGTTCCTTTCTGCCCATCACACAGACGTCCAGCCCTACCTTGTCCAGCCCTACCTAAGAGTACCCATCCAGGCCCATATGCAAGAGTCACATCCCTTCTGGCCAGCTCCAGCCCCCCATCCTTCCTGGGAGATGTCTCTGATACTCACCAGCTGAATCTTCTCTGCATTTGCTGAGAAAGTCAGAGGAGGAGTCCAGTAGCCCTTTCCACATACTGTGGCTACAGCACCCAGCACTGTGCTATTGTTGTCTGACCGTGGCTGTCTCTGTGCCATCACCTGAGCCTCAAGATGGAAGACATTGTCTGGTTAAACTCGGCTTGGTGCAGAGTAGGTGTTTAGTAAGTGTTGAATAGATCAACCAATTCCTAGAGCCCACTGGGTTCCAAGCACAGAAGGGAAAGAGGAGATAGCCATAGAGACCTGGCCCTCAAAAAGGTGTGAACAAGACTGAAAAGAAGGTACGTTCAGCTCTGTCTGCCCTGTCCCTGCTTGGTTCTTGAAGTTTTTACAATGTCTTCCTTGTAGATTCTTCACTCACTCACTGAACAAATACCCATTGGAAGAGTCTTAAACTGGGGCTTCGTGTGTGGCCTGCAGTCATGTTTTGGCTTAGCCTGACAGTATTTTTATTGTATTTTAAGAATTTGAATGCCTTTGCATGAGGCATGCACTCTCAGGTTCCCCATAGTGTCCCGCTGCCACCCACAAACAGACACACATGCTGCTGTGTTATGCCCAGCCGCTCTGATTTACTGGCCTCTGACTTATGGACTGCTTACTAGTCTCAAGAAATACAGTGGTGGAAAAATATATCCCCATACTCATGAAGCTTACTGACTAGTAGGGAAGATAGACTCTAATGCAATAATCACATAGACACATCACAGTGAGCTTCACTAAGTATAGGTGTATATATGTATCAGGGACCACTGCCCAAGACAGTGAGAAGGCTTTCCTCAGCAAGTGACAATCTAACCTCCATCCAAATGATAAATCACTAATTACGCAAATGAGGTTCCAGGGGAGAGTACTCCAAGCAGAGAGAATGGCATGTGTAAAGGTGTGTGTCATATACAGAGCCCAGTACATAGTGGGTCGCCTACATATGCCTGGATTCTGAGTCTCCAGATTGGAACAGAGCATGGAGCTAAGCAGGAAAGGACCTCTCATGAATTCACCGCACGCACGCCAGCCCTTTTGCACACTCAGCTCCTTACATCTAGGCCCAGCTGAACCCAGGTTAGGGGCAGATCAGAAGGGCTGCATGTACCACCATACTTATGGTCTTGTTGAACACACCAAGAAGCCAGATGGCTTCCAGATTTTCTGACCCTACAAACAGGTCCCTAATACTGGTATAGGGAAAGCTTGAGAGAATCATTTGGCCTGAGCTCACCATGAGGCTATATGTAGTCCTGGTAGAAAAGCAACAACTTGCTCCCCTTCCTGTGTATCAATGAAAACCATTATGCAAATAAAGAGCTGGGCCCCAGGACATGTTTCTGCTTCCATGGAGATGGCTTCCTGACATGCTGCCTGACTGATGGGAGAGGGTGGCCAATATGTGGGGTGACTTGGAATCCACATTCTCAGGCTGTAGTCTTGGATTTGGCACAGACATTGTGGTTGTGCCAGCCATGAACAGGTTGCAAGTGACAGGAATTCAGATGGAACAAACTTGGTCAAAAAGGGTCATTTACTAAATAATTAAATGATGAATAATTGTTAACAATTAGAGTTTGGGGGTATAAGCAACAGAAATTGACATTAAGTAAAAAATCAATTTATTGGAAGATATATTAGTTTCCAGTGGCTGCTGTACAAATTCAGACAAACTTGATGGCTTAAAACAGTAGACATGGCCGGGCGCGGTGGCTCGCACCTGTAATCCCAGCACTTTGGGAGGCTGAGACGGGTGGATCACGAGGTCGAGAGATCGAGACCATCCTGGTCAACATGGTGAAACCCCGTCTCTACTAAAAATACAAAAAATTAGCTGGGCCTGGTGGCGCGTGCCTGTAATCCCAGCTACTCGGGAGGCTGAGGCAGGAGAATTGCCTGAACCCAGGAGGTGGAGGTTGCAGTGAGCCAAGATCGTGCCATTGCACTCCAGCCTGGGTAACAAGAGCGAAACTCCGTCTCAAAAAACATAGAAACATATTCCCTGACAGTCATGGACGCCAGAAATCCAAAATCAAGTGTCGGCAGGGCCATTCTCCCTCAGGAGGCTCTGGGGGAAATCTCCTTTTCTCTTCTAGTTTGTTGTGGCTGCCAACATTCTTGGCTTTGTCGGGCAGCTGGTTAGCTCAGTTGGTGAGCTCCTGGTGCTCAACATTCTTGGCGGCTGGTTAGCTCAGTTGGTGAGCTCCTGATGCTCAACATTCTTGGCTTTGTCAGGCGGCTGGTTAGCTCAGTTGGTGAGCTCCTGATGTTCAATATTCTGGCTTTGTCGGGCCGCTGGTTAGCTCAGTTGGTGAGCTCCTGATGCTCAATATTCTGGCTTTGTCGGGCCGCTGGTTAGCTCAGTTGGTGAGCTCCTGGTGCTCAACATTCTTGGCTTTGTCAGGCGGCTGTTTAGCTCAGTTGGTGAGCTCCTGGTGCTCAACATTCTTGGCTTTACTTGGCTGTGGCTGCATCACTCAAGTCTCTGCCTTCAATATCACTTCACTTTCTGTGTATGTCAAATCTTCCAATGCCTCTGTCTATAAGGGCACTTTTGATGACATTTAGGCCGACCAGGATAATACAGGATGACCTCATCTCAAGATCCTTAACTTAATCATGTTTGCAAAAAGAACCTTTCCCAAATAAGGTAAGTTACAGGTTCCAGAGATTAAAATATGGACATATGTTTAGGGTCACCATTTAGCCCACTACAGAAGGTTATCTGTGAAATTCACCCAATCAAAGGAAGAGCTGACTGACAAGGCCTCAGGAAATATAGGAATGATGGGAGCTCAAGGGACCTCAGTAGCAAGACTCATGAACCTTCTGTTTAAGACATTGCCACCCACATGATCTGCCTCCAGTCACCTTCCTTCCCTGTATCATCCTGCTCACAGTTCCAATCCCAGGAAAGAGTCTGATTTCACTTGAGTCATATGCCTCTCTCGGGAGGAATGGAGGGCAAGGCACCGTATTCATATTTGCAGCAGTTGGAGGAAATGTACTTACCCAAAGAAAAGACCCCGTATTGTCACCAAAATCAAGGTGAAAGGTATTAATAGGCAAAAATAGCACGCCATACACTCCCATCCTTTTCCCATACACATAGATTTATGCATGTTTCTAATATAAGGAAACTCTCTTATATAACCAAAAACATACTGATCTCCCCAAAGGAAATTCATCCCATGGGGCATATCCTGTTCATGAATCCATAAGTTTATTCTTCCACTGGTACCACTGATCCTGTCTCAGTGCCCTGTGATATAAAGAATAAATGGTAAGTGTAACTGCCACCAGCATACTCTGTATATCATACTAGAAGGAAGAAAAAGAAAAACACAGCAAGGAGCAAAACAGGGCATTGCTATGTCCTCATTCCTATTATGGTCATAAGGCTGCCGCTGGCATTTATAACATCCCTTCTCTGTGAGCCATGTCATGCCCTGCCCCGCCTTTAGCCAGCACTTTAGTTGGTTGGGATTCTTTGTTTGATGGGGTAACCTAAACCTTTATTCCTAGAGAATCTGAGCACTTGTTAGTACTGCTGGCATGTGAAGATTCCCCAGGGAATTCCATGGAGTTGCTTGCATTCCTTTCTGCCTACTTTGTGTAGCAGTAACCATATTTCCCCTTGACAGTGTGATTGATTGCCCTAATCAAGATTGTAACTCCCTTTATACACACCTAGGGAAAAAAGAGCTCAGAAATTTCAGGTGACAGTCTCAGTCTCCAATTCAGGGAATTCTTCCTTGGGTACCAAAGGAAGTATTCTTCCCTTGGATACCAAAATCTCTAAGTCAGCAGAACTCAGTCATAGGGATAGGAAGCAATAGATTTGCAAGTGGGTCACTGGGTTTAATCAGAAAACATGCATCTTTTTTTTTTTTTTTTTTTAAGATGGAGTTTCACTCTTGATACCCAGGCTGGAGTGCAATGGCGCAATCTCAGCTCACCACAACCTCCGCCTCCTGGGTTCAGGCAATTCTCCTGCCTCAGCCTCCTGAGTAGCTGGGATTACAGGCACGCGCCACCATGCCCAGCTAATTTTTTGTATTTTTAGTAGAGATGGGGTTTCACCATGTTGACCAAGATGGTCTCGATCTCTTGACCTCGTGATCCACCCGCCTCGGCCTCCCAAAATGCTGGGATTATAGGCTTGAGCCACCGCACCCAGCCAAAACATGAATCTTGATTGAAGGCAAACTTCTCTTGCAATCAACTTATATCATTAGGATCTACATGAGTCCAATCCCATGTACCCATGGATACACTTGATGATGGAGTCCTTACTGGGCATGTTGACTTTCTATCTGGATGGCTGATACCATAGTTGGTCACCTTGGGTCATAAGATCACCTGATATCCCATAGTTAGTCCTTCATTCACCATCAAAGCCCAGTAGCAAGCTATGATCTGACAGCAGTAGAACCAATACAACCAAATTGCATTGTACTTCTCTGTGTGGTAACAGAAGTACTACACATGTGTCTAGGATACTGGACACTTTAAGAAACTTCACTGAGATGCACTGAATTTATCTCCCACCTTGTGAAAGACATATATCTTACCTACAGAGCTAAAGTGCCTGTTCCTTTGTGCTCTCCAGGCCCTATTAAGCGTGATTTAGTCAACGTAATAAATTAGTTTGCTGTCTTTTGGAATAGGGATGTTCAGGGAATCAAGGTCTTTCTGGTTCAGAGCTGAAGAACAGAGGTATGCCTGAGTTAGAACAGTAAGTGAAACTCTTATGTCTTCTAGGTAATAGCAAAATGCTTGCAGTGGTTTCTGTTCCTCAGAGTAGAGAGTAAAACCAGTAGATGCATGACTCTGGGGACTGGAATGATGAGCATGTATCTAACACAACAGTTAAAAATGGAATTATCCTATAATCCCAGCACTTTGGGAGGCCGAGGTGGGCAGATCACCTGAGGTTGGGAGTTCAAGACCAGCCTGACCAACATGGAGAAACCCAGTCTCTACCAAAAATGCAAAATTAGCGGGGCATGGTGGCTTATGCCTGTAATCCCAGCTACTCAGGAGGCTGAGGCAGGAGAATCACTTGAACCTGGGAGGCAGAGGTTACTGTGAGCCAAGATTGCGCCATTGCACTCGAGCCTGGGCAACAAGAGAAAACTCCATCTCAAAAAAAAAGGAATTATCATCTGAATGAAAATTTTTTCAATCCATCCGACAAAGGGCTAATATCCAGAATCTACAAAAAGTAAAGCATATTTATGAGAAACAAACCCATTCAAAAGTGGGCGAAGGATATGAACAGACACTTTTCAAAAGAAGACATATATGTGGCCAACAAACACATGAAAAATGCTCATCATCATTGGTCATTAGAGAAATGCAAATCAAAACCACATTGAGATGCCATCTCATGCCCATTAGAATGGCAATCATTGAAAAATCTGGAGACAACAGATGGTGGAGAGGATGTGGAGAAAAAGGAACACTTGTACATTGTTGGTGGGAGTGTAAATTAGTTCAACCATTATGGAAAACAGTGTGGCAATTCCTCAAGGATCTAGAAATAGAAATTCCATTTGACCCAGCATACCCAAATGATTATAAATCGTTCTATTATAAAGACACATGCACATATATGTTCTTTGTGGCGCTGTTTGTAATAGCAAAGACCTGGAATCAACCCAAATGCCCATCAGTGATAGACTGGACAAAGAAAATGTGGCACATCTAAACCATGGAATACTATGCAGCCATAAAAAATGAGTTTGTGTCCTCTGTAGAGACAGGGATGAACCTAGAAACCATCATTCTCAGCAAACTGACACAAGAACAGAAAAGCAAACACTGCATGTTTTCACTCATAGGTGGGTGATGAACAATGAGAACACCTGGGCACAGGGAAGGGAACAACACTCACAGGGCTAGGTGTGGGGGGAAGGGTGGGGAGGGACAGCTTTGAGGCAGGGAGGATGGGGAGGGATAACACCAGGAGAAATGCCTGATGTAGGCGCTGGAGCAGGGGAGATGGAGACAGTAAACCACCATGGTATGTATGTACCTATGCAACAATCCTTCAGGATGCAGGATGTATACATGTACCCCAGAGCCCAAAGTACAATAAAATAAATAAAAAATAATCCACTGTCATTTTCCAAGACCCATCTAATTTTGCACCTTCCAAACAGGAAATTCATGGTGTTTGGATAGGAGTCATCAGCCTGCAGTCTTTGGTAGAGACATGAATCTTTGCAGCCTCCCCTAAAGATAGGTTACTACTATTGATTTTTCTATTTTGGAACAGTTGTTCAGTTAGATTCTATTGGCCTTTTATATCATAATGGCCCTTACTTC